CATTCACCTTCATAGTATTCCACACAGCATTGCTCCTGATCAAGGAATTCATTTAACAGCAAATGAAGTGTGACAGTGGGCCCATGCTTATGAAATTCACTGGTCTGACCATGCTCTCCACCAACGTGGTGGGCCTCCCAAAGTGCTGGTATTATAGGAGTGAGGCACCGTGCCTGGCCTGTAGTAGTTCATTTTATACAGTATTCCAGATATAAGACTTTTATTAGTATATGTGTTTCAAATTTCTTTTCCCAGTCTATGACTTATCATATCACTTTATTTTCTTTTTCAAAAATTTAATTCACAGCCGGGTGCAGTGGCTCACACCTGTAATCCCAGCTCTTTGGAAGGCTGAAGCAGGCGGATCACCTGAAGTCAGGAGTTCAAGACCAGCCTGACCAATATGGTGAAACTCCATCTTAAAAAAACAAAAAAAAAAAAACCCAAAAATTTAATTCACATACTATAATATTCAACAGGCACCTGGCCTATTACAAAGTTTTTCTACTAGAGATCTAAAAATATTTTGTTAGAATGATCCTTATGTACTTTATATTTTTATTCAAATGTAAATGGTATCTTTTCAAAGTTCTGTTTGTTGCTGACATATGAAAACAAAATTGGCCAGGTGCAGTGGCACAGGCCTGTAATCTCAGCACTTTGGGAGGCCAAGGCAGGCAGATCATCTGAGGTCAGGAGTTTGAGACCAGCCTGACCAACATAGTGAAACTCTGTCTCTAATAAAAATACAAAAATTAGCCGAGCATGGTAGCTGGTGCCTGTAATCCCATCTACTCAGGAGGCTGAGGCAGGAGAATCGCTTGAACCCGGGAGACAGAGATTGCAGTGAGCCGAGATGGCACCATTACACTCTAGCCTGAGCAACAAAGCGAGACTCTGTCTCAAAAAAAAAAGAAAAAAATAATGATAAAATTGAAACCAGCCAATGAATCTGCTCACCTAAATGTGTTTCTGCAGAAATTTTTATTTTATTTTTTGAGATGGAGTCTCATTCTTCACCCAGGCTGGAGTGCAGTGGCACAATTTCTGCTCACTGCAACCTCCACCTCTTTGGTTCAAGCAATTCCCCTGCCTCAGCCTCTGGAGTAGCTGAGATTACAGGTGCATGCCACAACGCCAGGCTAATTTTTTAATATTTATAGTAAAGACAGGATTTCATCATGTCGGTCATCTTGGTCTCAAACTCCTGACCTCAGGTGATCAGCCTGCTTCGGCCTCCCAAAGTGTTGGGATTACAGGCGTGAGCCACCATGCCTGGTCAGAAAATGTTCTTTCTTTATTTTATTGCTTTGAAATAAAGTCTCCCCCATCACCCAGGCTGGAGTGTAGTGGCATGATCATAGCTCACTATAACATCTAACTTCTGGGCTCAAGATATCCTCCAGGTTCAGCCTCCTAAGTAGATAGGACTACAGACTTGAACCTAATTTTTTTTGTAATTGGCTAATTAGAAGAAAAAAAGGCTTTTGTAGAGACAAGGTCTCACTATGTTGCCCAGGCTGGGCACTCTTGGCCTCAAGCGATCCTTCTGCCTAGGCTCCCAAGGTGCTGGGATTACATGTATGAGCCACTGTGCCCATCCCTCTTTCTTATAATGTCTTTATTGGATTTAATATCAAGGTTATGTTTGTCTAATAAAATGAATTGGAGACAGTAGCCTTTATTTCTTTTCTTTCTTCTTTTTTGTTTATGAGACAGAGTCTCATTCTGTCACCCAGGCTGGAGTGCAATGGCACAATCATGGCTGACTGCAGCCTCAGCCTCCCCTACTCAGGTAATCCTCCCACCTCAAGCCTCCCAAGTATCTGGGACTACAAGTGCATGCCACCTTGCCTGATTAGTTGTTTGTATTGTTTTGTAGAGATGAGGTTTTACCATGTCGCCCAGACTGGTCTCAAACTCCTGGGCTCAAGTGATCCACCTGCTTCAGCCTCCCAAAGAGTTGGGATTACAGGCATGAGCCACTGGGCCAGCCCCTTATTTCTATAATTTGAAAGCATTTGCGTCCAACTGGCATTATTTCTTCCTTAAATGTTTGGTAGAATTAACTGGTGCCACATCTGGGCCTGGGATTTGATTTGTGTGAATTAAAAAAATAACAGTTGTATTGAAACGTAATTCACATACCAAGCAATTCACCCATTTAAAATGTACAATTCTTGCTCGGTGCAGCGGCTCATGCCTGTAATCCCAGCACTTTGAAAGGATGAGGCAGGAGGATCACAAGTCAGGAGTTCAAGACTAGCCTGACCAACATGGTGAAACCTTGTCTTTACTAAAAAAAATACAAAAATTATCTGGGCATGGTGACATGCGCCTGTAATCCCAGCTACTCAGGAGGCTGAGGCAGGAGAACTGCTTGAATCCCGGAGGCAGAGGTTGAAGTGAGCTGAGATCACACTACTGCACTCCAGCCTGGGTGAAAGAGTGAGACTCTGTTTCAAAAAAAAAAAAAAAGAATAAAATGTACAATTCTTGAACTTGTTTCAGAGGCATTAAAAAATGTACAATTTAATGATTTTTAGTTATTCACAGACTTGTGCAACCATCACCACAACCAAATTTACAACATTCAGAACATTTTCAAATTTAGAATATAAAGAAACCTCAGCCATTAGCAGTCACTCCCCTTCTGAGGGAATTTTTTTATTTTGAGATGGAGTCTCGCTTTGTCATCCAGGCTGGAGTGCAGTGGCACAATCTTGGCTAACTGCAACCTCTGCCTCCAGAGTTCAAGCGATTCTCTTGCCTCAGCCTCCCGAGTAGCTGGGATTACAGGCTTGTGCCACCATGCCCGGTTAATTTTGTATTTTTAGTAGAGAAAGGGTTTCACCATGTTGGCCAGGCTGGTCTCAAACTTCTGACCTCAACTGATCCACCTGCTTCGGCCTCTCAATGTGCTGGGATTACAGGCGTGAGCCACTGTACCTGGCTTATTAAATCTATAATTAAAAATATTTCTGGCTGGACATGGTGAACAGAGCAAGACTCCATCTCAGAAAAGAAAAAAAAGTTATAGATTTAATTAAGCATTTTCTCAGCCGGGCATGGTGGCTCACGCCTGTAATCCAAGCACTTTGGAGGCCAACGAGGGCGGATCACCTAAGGCTGGGAGTTCAAGATTTAATTAAGCATTTTCTCCTTCCTTCATGTTCAAACCCAAGTACCCACACTTCAGGATTAGCTCTTCCCTGAGAGTTCTGCTCCACAGAATCAATGCCACCAAACAATGAGATGCTTTTTGAGGGACACAGAAAGGACATAAGAGGGCAGGGCACTGAATCCCAGCTCTATAGAATCCTAAGCTTTAGCACTAAGTCAAGCCTTTGATCAAGGTTAAATTCTTAATTTCTATCTTCATTTGCAAAGCGGGGAGAGTAATCCTTTCTGTATTTTTCATGACTGGGGCCACCCAAATGAGAGAATGTGTGTAAAATCACCTTGAAAATTGTTTTTTGTTTTTGTTTTTGAGACAGTCTTACTCTTTCACCCAGGATGGAGTGCAGTGGCACCATCTTGGCTCACTGTAACCTCCATCTCCTAGTTCAAGCAATTCTCCTGCCTCAGTCTCCCGAGTAGCTGGGACTACAGGTATGCGCCACCACACCCAGCTAATTTTCGTATTTATTAGTAGACATGAGAATTCACCATATTTGCCAGGCTGGTCTCAAACTCTTTACCTCAGGTGATCCACCCGCCTTGGCCTCCCCAAATGCTGGGATTACACACATGAGCCACTGCCCCTGGCCGAATCTTGAAAATTGTAAGCCTAGGCCACAGGAGGAAACCCTGCCTCTACAAAAAGTACAAAAAAATTATCCAGGCATAGGGGTATGCATCTGTAGTCCCAGCTCCTTGGGAGGCTGAGGTGGGAGGATCACCTGCGCCTGGGAGTTCAAGGCTGCAGTGAACCATGATAGCGTGACTGCACTCTGAACTGGGTGATAGAGTGAGACCCTGTCTTTAAAAGGGCCAGGTACGGTGGCTCACACCTTTAATCCCAGCATTTTGGGAGGTGGAGGCAGGCGGATCACAAGGTCAGGAGTTCAAGACTAGCCTGGCCAATGTGGTGAAATCCTGTCTCTACTAAAAATACAAAAATCAGTTGGGCATGGTGGCATATGCCTGTAATCCAGCTACTCAGGAGACTGAAGCAGGAGAATCAGTTGAACCAGGGAGGCAGAGGTTGCAGTGAGCCAAGATAGCACCATTGTACTCCAGCCTGGGTGACAGAGACTGCATCTCAAAAAAAAAAAAAAGAAAGAAAGAAAAAGCCTGGGCACAGTGGCTCATGCCTGTAATCTCAGCACTTTGGGAGGCCAAATCGGGCAGATCACGAGGTCAGAAGTTCGAGACCAGCCTGGCCAACGTAGTGAAACACCATCTCTAATAAAAACACAAAAATTCTCTATAAAACACACACACACACACTAGCTGGGCATGGTGGCACATGCTTGTAGTCCCAGCTACTCAGGAGGCTGAGGCAGGAGAATCACTTGAACCCAGGAGGTAGAGGTTGCAGTGAGCCAATATCATGCCACTGCACTCCAGTTTGGGCAACAGAGTGAGAATTTGTCTCAAAAAATAAAAAAATAAAAGAAAATAATGAAAGGCTGGATGAGGTGGCTCATGCCTGTAATCCTAGCACTTGGAGAGGCTGAGGCAGGTGGATCACTTGAGGTCAAGAATTTGAGACCAGCCTGGCCAACGTGATGAAACCCTGTCTCTACTAAAAATACAAAAATTATCTGGGTGTGGTGGCAGTAATCCCAGCTACTTGGGAGGCTGAGGCAGGAGAATTGCTTGAACTCAGGAGGCAAAGCTGGTTGCAGTGAGCTGAGATTGCACCACTGCACTGCTGCCTGAGTGACAGAGCAAGAATGCGTCTCAAAAAAAAAAAAAAAAAAAAAAGGGAAGGAAGGAGGGAGAGAGAGAGAGAGAAAGAAAGAAGAAAGAAAGAAAAAGAAAATTGTAAAGTAGTGCTCACTTGGGCAGCACATATTCTAAAACTGGATTGATACAGAGATGATTAGCATGGTCCGTTCACAACGAAGACATGATTTAAAAACTCTAAAGTATTATTAGGTATGATTATTAAGATATTATTATTGAAGGGCTGGCAATTCAGCAGAGGAAAATAAATATAGAAATAACAGACATCATTACTAAAGATACACAAGCACGTACAACCATAACTACATTTTTGAGCACTTACTATGTGCCAAGCACTGTATTAAGTGCTGAATATGGATCACCCCTCACCGGTTTTTGCAATAACCCTGTGGAGTGCTGCTATTATTTTTATTTTACGGATGAGAAAAGTGATGCTTAGAGGGGCTAAGTCACTCACTCAAGGTTATATGGCTACTGATAGTCTGTTAGGGGGTTCGGCCAGTTCGCACTGACCATGAGAGGACTACATTTATGGTCTGTCAAGGAAGCTGACCTCTCCACAGAGTAAAAGTTATTCAGTACCCCTTCTAAAGCAATCCCGCCCCTTCATTCAGATTTATTTCTCTCCATATTTTTCTCTGAACGTTTTCCCTTTTCCCCTTCCTTTATCTCTCTGCCACCCACCCCCCACTCCCCACCCCTCCAGATTCTTCTCATAGCTTCACAGATCAGCTCTGGGATGGATGCAGAGGCTCCTGTTTCCATGGTGACGCGGAGAGGTTGGTACAGCACACGCCAAGTGTAGGCGAAGCAGACAATTGGCCGAGGATCCAAAGGTGCCGGCAGTAACCAGGCTCTGGGGAAAGAGATCGATGAGAAAGCCGAGTCTGGATGACTGGACTTCCCTGGAGCTCCAGAAGGACCACCACCCCCATCACGCCCCCTGCCCTCCCTAAGCTCCTCATTTGGAAGTCGAAGTCGGGAGAGCGCAGAAAAGAAGCGAAGGGGCTCCAAAGCAGAAGCTACCACCTCTGACTTGTTTTGAAGACAAAGCCTAGTCGTCGGTGGGGAGACTGCCTAGTGGGCGACGGCCCCCTCCTGAGGCGCCTCCGCCCCGCTCCTTCTCTCCCCGTTCTGACCTCAGTCGGGGCCACCGGGCTCTCGGCCAGGTGCTGAAGAGGAGCTGGGCAGCCAGCAGGGGGCAGAGTCCCCCGCATTAAAGGCGTGTGTGGGCCTGCTTCCTCTGCTACCACCCAACCCCTGCCTTCACTGGGATTATTTTCAGCTGACAGGCTGCAAAGGCGCAGTAGGTGGATTTCAGGTCAGGAGATGGGTTCTGGCAGGGGCTGTGAGCCTATGAAGCGTTGTTCTTTTTTTTTTTTTTTTTTTTTTTTTTTTGAGACAGAGTTTCGCTCTTGTTACCCAGGCTGGAGTGCAATGGCGTGATGCCGGCTCACCGCTGGCAACCTCCCGGCCAAAGCGTTGTTCTTAAGCTGTGGGCCCCACTGAGAAGCCGGGTATTTAGGACCACAGAGTCAGGGGCTGAAGCAAGGGGCACTTTAACTTTTTTCTGGCAATGGTTTCTTCTGAAGTTTTCCTTGATCCATTGAAAACAATTACAACACTCTGTGAAGAAGAGGCTCATTAATTCATTCAATAATGTTTATTGAGTATCGTCTATCATAGTCACAATGGATGCATCCAATCAAAAATAAATATTTACAGTATGCCTACCTACACTGATTCTTTTTTTTTGAGACGGAGTTTTGGCCAGGTACGGTGGCTCACACCTGTAACCCCAGCACTTTAGGAGGCCGAGGTGGGCAGGTCACAAGGTCAGGAGATCGAGACTATCCTTTTGAAACCCAGTCTCTATAAAAAACTTTTTTTTTTTTAAAAAAGAGAGAGACAGAGTTTTGCTCTTGTTGCCCAGGTTGGAGTACAATAGTGCAATCTCAGCTCACCACAACCTCCATATCCTGGGTTCAAGCGATTCTCCTGCCTCAGCCTCCACAGTAGCTGGGATTACAGGCATGTGCCACCACGCCCAGCTAATTTTGTTTTTTTAGTAGGGATGGTGTTTCTCGGTGTTGGTGAGGCTGGTCTTGAACTCCTGACCTGAGGTGATCCGCCCGCCTCAGCCTCCCAAAGTGCTGGGATTACAGGTGTGAGCCATGGCACCAGCCCACATACTGATTCTTAACCTTTTTTAGGTGGCAGGGGTGTCACATATTCTTTGAGAGTATGATAAAAAAAAAAATACAGTGCTATTCAAATGTCACCAAAAAAATACAGATTGTCTCCCAAAAAGAACGCACTATAAACCCTACAGACATTTTTGTGTGATTTTGGGAACCTCATGAACCCCTGGTAACTCATCCATGGGCCCCAGGGCATAAACCCTGGTCTATTAGGAGCTGGGCTCTGGGCTAGGCACTAGAGATGCAACAGCAAGTTAGATAAGCATGGTCCCTGCTCTACTTGAGTTCCAAAGGCAAGTGGGAGGTACAAAGAGATCTTAAAATACAGTGGGCATTGTGGTGATGGACGACCCCAAAGGAGGGCCACGTACCTAGACCAGGGGCTTCACGGAAGGCTTCCTGGAATGACAGGTAAGCTGAGACCTGAAGAAGGAGTAGGGGCCGGCCAGGCAAAGACCTGAGGAGGAGCACTTCGGGCATGGAGGGAAGCACATGGAAAGGCCCTGAGAGGGAACAGCAGACCTGAGAAGCTGACAGCAGGCCCTCGTGGCTGGCTCAGAGATGCCAGGAGGAGAACTGGTGAGAAATGAGGCTAAAGTGGTAAGTGCCATATGTAGGCCCTGGGATGCAACAGAGAACAGGCAGACAGCTGCTGCCCTCAAGGACACTGACAAGAAAGCTGGTGGTTATGATGCAGAAGTGTTAAGTTCCACATTGGGAGTAAGCATGGGGTGGGATGGGAGCATGTGGGTGAGCACTGAACTCAGCTGTGGGGATCAGGACCAAGGCCCAGAAAGCAGGGCTCCAGGTGCAGGTGGATCAGTGACATATTTAGTGTATTCAGAATATTCACAGCCTCTGAAAATAGCTGGAGGGGAGATGTGGTGGGAGAGGAGGAGAGAGAGAGAAGGAAGGGGAGTCACCAATGCACCTTGATTTGAGTGGAACCTACCATTAGGAACATCTTTTATTCTGGGGGTGAGTAGGGCTAGGTGGGGTGACCTCAGCTCTACCTACTCTCTTTTTTTATGTTGCCCAGACTAGACTCAAACTCCTGGGCTCAAATGATCCTCTCCATTCAGCCTCTAGAGTAGCTGGGACTATAGATGCACACCACCGCACCTGGCTGTTTTTTTAAGTAACAGAGTTGTGGCCAGAGGAAGCCTTGGATGAAAAAGTGGGTAAGTAGAGAGAACAGCAGGCTGGGCTTCTTGCTCCCTGCTGTGGACCTAGCAATGGGACTGGGAGAGCATGGGGGTGAGCTAGGAAAACAGGAGATGTTGTAATGGTTTATTGCTGGTGATTTCGTTTAAGAAACACTCTGGGCTGGGGACAGTGGCTCATGCCTGTAATCCCAGCACTCTGGGAGGCCCAGATGGGTGAATCACCTGAGGTCAGGAGTTCAAGACCAGCCTGACCCACATGGAGAAACCCTGTTTCTATTCAAAATACAAAATTAGCCAGGCGTAGTGGCACACACCTGTCATCCCAGCTACTTGGGAGGCTGAGGCAGGAGAATCGCTTGAACCCAGAGGCGGAGGTTGTGGTGAGCTGAGATTGCACTATTGTACTCCAACCTGGGCAACAAGAGCGAAACTCCATCTCAAAAACAAACAAACAAAAAACACCACCCTGGACCAAGCACATGCCTGTAATCCCAGCACTTTGGGAGGCTGACTCAGGAGGATCACTTGAGCCCAGGAGTTTGAGACCAGCCTGGGTATTATAGTGAGACTCTGCCTCCAAAAAAAAAAAAGGAAAAGAAAAAAACCCACTCACATACAGTAGCCCCTTCTTATCCATGGTCTTGCTTTCCACAGTTTCAGTTACACAGATAAGAAGGGGCTACTGTATATGCCTATGTATGTGGTCTCACCTTCTGTGGTCAATCATGGTTTGAAAACATTAAATGGAAAATTCCAGAAATAAACAATTCATAAGTCTTAAATTGCCACCATTCTTAGTAGCGTGATGAAATCTCACACCATCCCACTCTATGCCGCCCGGAATGTGAGTCATCTCTTTGTCCAGCGTAACCACACTGTAGATGCTGCCCACCCATTATCACTTAGTAGCCATCTCGGTTATCAGATCCACTGCCTCGGTATCACAGTGCTTGTGTTCAAGTAACCTTTATTTTGGCCAGGCATGGTGGTGCACACCTGTAAGCCCAGCTGCTTGAGAGACTGAGGCCCACTGAGAATCACTTGAACCTGGGAGGCAGAGGTTACAGTGAACCAAGATTGCGCCACTGCACTCTAGCTTAGCTGACAGAGCAAGACTCTGTCTCAAAAAAAAAAAAAGTAACCCTTATTTTACTTTCTAATGGCTCCAAAGCACAAGAGTAGTGATACTGGCATATCATTATAATTGTTCTACTTTATTATTAGTTATTATTGGTAATCTCTTAATGTGCCTAATTTTAAAATTAAACTTTATCATAGGTAAGTATGTATAGGAAAAAAAAAAACATGACCCAAATAGAATTTGGTACTATCTGCAGTTTCAGGCATCCTCTGGGGGTCTTGGAATGTATTCCCTGAAGATAAGGGGGGGATTCTTCTGGTACCTATATTCCAGGCTCTGTCCTAAACACTTAGCAAGTATTACTTCATAACACTCCCAGGAGATAATCATGGTCATCCTCATTTTACACATGAGGCCTGAAGCAATTCAGTAATTTGGCAAAGTCAAATAGCAAGTAAGTGACAAAGCCACTATCTAAACCCAGGAAGTTTGGCTCCAGAGTTCCTGCTTTCCACCACCAAACTATGCTATCTCTCTAGAGGGAAGGTCATTGCAAAGGCAATGAATTGAACCTGAACGTCCCACACAAAACATGAGAATTCTACCGTTCCACCTCCTGGGGACACTGATAAGGTAGGAGGAGCACCTGCTACTATGAAGAGGTCCTGGGGAAGTGGGAGGAGACATGGGGCATGGTGTGCTGTGGCCTTGCAACTGCAGGGAGCTGCTGGAGACCAAGGCC